TTTAACTTCTCCACCCTTTATCACACTAATTGCACATTGCAAAAACTTGACTTTACTGAACACCCGTCTCTCCCTTTTAGGGAGCAGCTCCTCCTAAACTCCACTCCCTCCACCTTTTTGGACTTCCAGCCTAAACAACTGTCTCCCCCAGGATGGAATTGACGTTATAGAAATAAACTGAATTGAATTAAATCTCTAAAACAGTGGCGTTAAAGTCAGTCCTAAGGGCTGCTATCTGCCGTATTGAAATTGCATTTTAATAAAGAAGAACAGCAGCAGCAGTAAAGCTAAGCTGAGCCAAAGGAACAAGGAACGAAAAGCTTCCTAGAAATATAGTGGAGTAAAAGTTATAAATATTACCCCAAAAAATGATTAAAGATACTCCAAAAAAGAACTTAAGTACAGTAATGAAGTAAATGTACTTAGTTACTTTCCACCACTGATACTGAAAGAGTTCAGCTGTTGGTCAAGAAGACCAGGCCCACATTGTATCTTATAACCTAATGTATCTTAAACAATTAAAAATGTTCTAAAGTAGTTGAATTAAATTTTTCCATTAAAAGCAAACGTTAATAAAAAAAACCCCAAAAAAACAGGCTCAATATCGCTGCTATGTTTTATCTAAACGCAGCTCCTTCAGGTTGACATCAGGACTCTTTGTCCATATCTCTTGTAAATCATCTTGGTGCATTCATGTTGGAACAGGAAGTGCTCTTCCTCAGACTGATCCACAAAGTTGGAGGCAAAAAAAAATATCCCAAATGTCTTTTGTCTTTTTAGGTTGATTTCTTCTCACTGCAACCAATGGCTCCTTCACACTGCATTCAACAATTTGAATTACACCCAGAGATGCAAGGCTTGGATGCGCTCATCTGGATCATATTCCAGGAAGCGTTTCATGCTCTGATCTTAAGGCCACCGGACATTTTGAGGAACATAACTGGCCTTTCACCTCATGGAAGAATTATAGTTATTCCTAAATGCTTTTACCTTGTTTTTCACCAGCAAAAAACGCACCAAAGCAATATGAGTTTAAATGTTTATTGACTGAATAGAGGATGACAGGATGAAAGAATGAGGGATGCAGGGTTGAGGGAATGGAAGAATGAAAGGATGAAGAGATCAGGGATGAAAGAAAGAGGGGATGAAAGGATGAGGGGAGGAAGTGATGAAAGGGTATGGGGTTTGGGGGTCGCCAGCATGTGAGGAGTAAACAGAGGGCGTGATGATCTCTGTGTGGCGTACGATCTCCAGGAGAATTCAGTTCTGGTTGATTTCTCAGAGTCGGCATTGACCCCCCCAGACGCAGCCTGCAACAAAGACGTACAAGACGAGGTAATGAGATGAATGAAGAGAAGAAAGGAAAAAGGGGTGAAGGAAGGGTGGTGGTTGATGAATCATAACAGAAAAAGTGAGTGGAGAATAAATAGCTCCCAAACTTCGGTTAACCTATTAACTGAAATTTAATGACTTATTGTAAAGGTTACATCTTAAATCTTCATTGTCTCTGTGCATTTAAAGATGTATTGGAGTATTTCTGAGAATTTATGTATAAGACCCGCCCTCTCCACTTTAAAAAAATGCACATGCACCACCCTGTGCCTGCTCCCCAGAGGGAACGCCTATTAAACGCATGCAGGAGCATGCAGGAGCGCGCTATTCGCAATTTCTCCTCGTGCACGCTCTTTTTAAAAGTTGCTGTTTGCATCGCTTATACAAGCTTACATTCCAAACGATTTGCAATTTTTCCACTGTTAGACTGACCGCCGGTAAGTGGAAATGGGGACGAGCACATAGGACGGCCTAATGTAAACATATCACCAGAATGATTGAGAATTCAGAGGACCACTTATTTAGATGATCCACCCAGAAAAAGAACATCCTCCACTATAACTTTAAAACTGAATGAAATGACTCCAGAACAGGTATACCTGTCTCAAATTACACACATTCACCTTTACTAACAAGCAGCTACCTACACAGATTAATAAAATAGCCTCCAGTTACCCCTACACAGACTGATTCAGACATTTTTTCATGGCTGTAATTATTATTTCAGCCTGAGTGTTTAAGGATTTCATCAAAAGTAAGATAATTTGTTGGATCAAAATTTCGCAAAGAAAGAAAAAGAGCTTAAATAATAATAATAAAAAAACAACCTCTTTACCAGCCTTCGTTTTAGGTACATTTAGCAGCAAGCACTTCCAACTTAAAGAATGTTTTTATGCCTGACTCACATCCTCTGTGCATCTAATAGGCATCGGTCACAGGGGTAAGCGTTGTTCCGGTTCAGAGATGTGAAGCTTCAGGGTTTTTTATTATTAAAGAACCTTGAACCCCAGTGGGCCTCAGCAGACGGCCGCTCACACTCAGCCTGGTTCTGCTGGAGGTTTCTTCCTGTTCAAAGGGAGTTTTTCCTCTCCACTGTCGCTACAACCATGCTTAGTGTGAGGGATTGCTGAAGAGTCAATGAGTCGATGCAATCTGCTGGTTTTCCTTAGATAGAAAACTTTGAATCAGTCTGACTGGATGATCTGGTGAACTGGAAAGTGCCTTCAGATGACGTGATGTGAATTGGAGCTATAGAAATATACTGAATAGAATTAAATCCCTTCTGTTATCACTATTTTACAGATACTGAACACCCATCTCTCCCTTTTAGGGACCAGCTCCTCCTAAGCTCCACTCCCTCCACCTTTTTGGACCTCCAGCCTAAACAAGCGTCTCCCCCAGGATGGTCTGTTGCTCTCATCAGGACCCTGGAGCTTCTCATGTCATGAATTATGATCTTTTCTAATTCCATCCTTGTCAGACTGAGGAAACTAAACTCAAACATCGTGGAGTTTAGTTACAGCAGAACAAAACTAAAAGGAAGAACCTACTTTTTTCTATTTGATCTTAGATATTTTGATCATGTTTTTGGAGAAAAAAAAAAGCTATACCCATAATAAACAGCCAGTAAAAAAATACATCTTTTGAAAGATAAATGTTTATTAAAAACGAGAGAAATTATTCCATTTATCTCTACAAGAGCCTTTTACAGGAGGAACCGTTTAACTTTGACCCAGATTGGAGCACCTTTTTAAAAACAAAGACCCTCTAATCATCCTCCTTCTTCTTCTTGCTCAGTGGTGAGCTGTTGTTGATTTGCGAGAAATGCTCAGACATGGCAGCAAGCGCCCGGTAGCGGTGAGAGATTGAATTCTTTACGTCTTTGGGGAGTTCGGCATATCTAGAGAGAAGAGACAAAAGCCAGAGGAAAGAGAAAAGTTAGAACTTTATCCCTGAAGGGATGGATGATGAGGTTTGCACTGGCAGTGTGTTAATCACCGGCTCCCCCTGGTGGCATATATAAGTACCACCATATGGAGCGGTATTTATTTGTGCAATAAAAGATACAACAGATGAAAAATAGCCTTTTGGCTAACTCTGGTGCATTTGCAGGAATGCTTATTAATGTAGAAATAAATAAATAAATCTAAGTAGTTGTTTACGTTTTGTTGTATCCGTCAGGCTGGAAACAAGGATCCCATCCAAAGTCGCGTGGCCCCCTGGGCTCCACAATTTGCCCCTGAATAATGATGAGAAACATGTCAGAGGCGTAAATATGCAACAGAAACACAGGAGGAATATTAGTGAGACAGATTTTAACCTCAGTTTTTCCTCTGAAGAGCTGCACAGGTTGATCTCTACCAGCACTGAAGGCAAACGTGCAGAGAGCCCACGCCGATTTATCCTCAAAGCCAGCTAAGAGCTTATACAGACCTACATTACAATACAATTAAACAGCTTAGAAATGTTGCACAGCTTCAATCACATTTTTAAAGCAAAATATTTACTTTTTTAACTTACCTTCTGGTTTTAGTTTATCCAGAAACCATTTGCTGCGCAGAAAAAAAATAAAAATTAGCCGGGAATACAGTCAGAGCTCTACTTCCTTATTAAGAGTGGAAAGTAAACCTACATATAAGGACCAGGAAGTCCTCCCAGAGCCCTGAAACACAGACAGGTGTCCTCCACTATGACTGGTCCATCAATCTTTGGGACAAAAACAACAGTTTCGCTTCATTCCAATAATATCAGATAAAAATAAAGACATATTGTTAATCATATCTACCTGTCGAGCAGCCTCCTTACACTTCTGAATAGAAATCTCATCTGGCTCCCCTTGGTATTCAGGTACTGAGTAAAGGAAGCAAAAAGCAGACAATCATGACATTCTTCTGATAAACCTACGTCTCATAACGGTGCTGTTCTAACCTCTTTATAACTATAAGATTTGCATATGTTAGAAAAGGTCAGGACTTCACTCATCCTCTGCAACTTTATTTCAAAGCTCAAAGATTATAATAATTTATGAAATGTTTCAAATATGTGTTTTCATTTATAAAACTTTCCAACTTAATGTCTACTTTAAAGTGAATAAATCTTTTAATTTACATAATACACACGTAAAAGTAAAGCTCTCTGTTTCCACCTTAAAGCTTTCTCTCTCTTCCGTTCTTTTTTCCTGAAAAGAGATCACTCAGAACAAACTCTTTAAATAACCCTTCATAACTTATATGTATTAAATAACCAGGTGACATGTATGGAAGTAAATCTGTGTCGCTGGGATTTAAATTAAAAATGCCTCTGAAATGTAAATGTTGTATGTTTGTACTTGCTGTTTCACTCACTCAACGGTGAGTTTATTACTTTCATTTTTCTGTAGTTGAGTTAGCGTTAGCGTGCATGACCGGCTCCGTCATGCTGGTTTTCCTTCAGTATGAGCTCCACGTCATGTGACTAAGAAAACGTAACGGGATTGGCTGGGTGTTTGACGCCACAATCCATTGCTAATGTCTGTGACCTGAAGTAACCCTTCCCATTTTACGCTGAATTTAGACGACGAATTTAAAACAGTGAAATAGAGCCAGTTGAATCTCAGGAGGCTGAAAATATTGAGTTTGAACTTTGAAAGGTTGATTTTGTTTATATGCAGATTTTTTTTAACACTCAAAAATTAAACTGGAAAAATAAGTCTTGAAAATGTAATCACTTTTAAATAGTAATGTGAATTTTTAGCTTGAAGAGAAAATTAATGACATTTCAACTGTGTGGAAATAATGACAATGAACTTCTTTTTAGGTCAAAAATGTGTTCTGAATATATTTTAACACTGAAACAGTAAGAACAAACATTTTAGTGGCATTGTTTCATTTAAATCCCAGCGACACAGATTTACTTCCATAGACATGATGACAGATTTTGATAGAAATTGTGATCTTACTCAGATCAGAGAAGTTGCTTAGAGTTATAGAAGGCAGCTGCTCACCAACCGGGCTCACTTCTCAGGAAGTGGCCATGATTAACAGTTAAAGAAGCATTTTATACATCTCCATTCTGCCACATCAGCACATCATTACATCACACAAGTTTGCAGATGAGGAGACATCCATGGCTCCAGCCTTATCAAAATATTACACTTTGTTCTGAGCCGAAGGACAACGCTTTCATTTCATTCCCAAAATCAAAATGAAGATTATAACTGTTTATAGCCGGACCGAGGAACTGGCCTAATTAGATCAACTACTGGGGAAACATCACTTCTGACACGCAACAGGCCGCTAATATTAAGGTGTAATAAACTCAAACATAAATACGCCAGCCAAGGGATCTCCATCCTACCAAATATTATTTATCCGATTCAGGGGTGTTCCACTTTAGAATCGTTTTTCTCCTTTAGCAACGAAACAATTAACATTAGAACTTTTTAAATGTCTTTTGAAAGTGAATTTAATGAAGAGTTGGACATGACAGCACCACATCTTGTAATGGATGCTGCTAATATGCATTTATGAAAGTATGTGTTCATTTCTTTATGTCTGTTACTGTTTTATTATCATTGTTTTATTTGTTTTAGGTTGAGGCTTCAGATGAGTCACACTGGCTTTTTGCCTCTTGCTGCACTGCAATTTATTTCTTTGCTGTGTATGCAAAGTATTTATTTATTTATTTTTTTAATGCAAGATAAAGTTAACCTTAAATCCTGACATATAAAGAAAGATCAGGGTGCACCCGCCTAACATTACACTGAACATTATTCAGTAACCTTTGGACCATCTTTATCATTCATAAAAAGGCAAGTTAAGTATAATTGATGTGTATACTTCTTCATAAATTACAGTTTTTCCTACCAATAGTATAATAATCAGCAGATAATTACCCACCAAGTGGACTTGAGGTACAAGAGGGATCAGGAAATCTGTTTCTGGGATCATTCTCACTCTTTTGACATGGAGTTCAACATAAGGAGCAGCAGCACAGCCGCTGTTGCATTTCTCCGCTATATTTAGTTCAAATAATGTTAAAGTTTGAGTCTTGTGTGAGAATCATTTACCATATGAGGAAGTGTTATTTAAAGAGTGATCGCTCCAGGCATGAGGAACTAGGAATATGCCCTGAGACGACAGCACCTTTAAGGGGCAACATTATGAAATATTATTGGTTATGTTATTAATATATGATGCAACATGATAAACACGGCAAGCATTACTTATGAGGAAAGACCTTTCTTGAAATGAACGGGTGTTTGGGGATTTTCTTGTGTTTCTCAGGTTCCTTAAAGAAGAGTTTTTATGAAATGAAACCAGATGAAACTAAAGCATTTCCACCTCAGGAGTTCTGGATAGAGCATATTGAAAGACGAAAAAGTTTTTTTCTATTAAATGCAAATCTTATATATATATATATATATATATATATATATATATATATATATATATATAT